TCATGCCGTGAACATTTGAAGATACAAGGGTAGTTAGGGCCGGCGCGGTAACAAGCGCACACTCGCGCACCGCGGCTGATACGCCGGCGGTGCTGGGCGAGTATTCATGCGCGCGCCCGACCAATTTCACTACCGTATGCGCCTCCAATGCCGACTGAACAGGCGCGAAAGGGGGCACGTGCTCGCGCGCTGCGACACCAGCCATACCGGTGGCGCAAACGCCAGGCGAGACCACGGGCTCGCGTTCTGTGGCCAGCACCGAGTTGATCTGTCTCTCAGACAAAGAATTGTTAGAATAGGTCACCCAATTTTCTATTCTAGAGTTTTTAGACAATTGTGAGTGTATACTGGCGGCCTCATCAATAGCCGCTAATTCAACCTCTAGTTCTAGAGTCGCTACGATACGCTCCCGCTCAGCTGCAGCGCGTTCCCGCTCAGCTGCGGCGCGGTCAAGATTGGCCTCTAATTCGGCTAAACGACGTGCATGTAACGCTTTCGCGGCAAGTCGTTGCGATTGAATAGAGATTGATGAGCGACGTGAATTATGACGCGAACTAGAGTTGTTAATATTATAAGAAACGCCGGCGGACACCTCTGAAGGAGGAACGATTAAATTCGCTGGGGCGCTTTGTACCGCTGCCATACCTCTTGTGAAAACCATTTGAAAAAATGTTTATAATTTCTAATTTTTTTTAAAATATATATCTAATTATTTTACCGGGAGAAGGACCAATGAAAACGGCAATGGTAGAAGAGGAGGGCAGCGACAATAATAAAATAATATTAAGAGAGGCTTACCAGTATATTTTCTTAGACGTACACACTTCATACTAAAACAATAATATATGTGGTACACACTTCTTACAATAAAACAATAATATATGTCAATCAAATAGAAAACAAAATAAGTATAAAAGGACATATTCATAATATAAAAATATAATTCTAAAAAGGTAAATTATATAAAAAGAGGTCTGTCGCCAACAATAATAATTGCAAAAAGAATTCAAAATCAGTTCATTGTTTACGAAAACAACGTGTAAAATATGTACACATAAAAAATGCAGGCCAATTAAGATCATTTTTCTTCTGGACAACTCTAAAAACTATATCCTTTAAATTTGGCTAAATGACAACATTTATTTTATCATAATTTTCTAATAATCACAAGTTTAATCTCTTTATATTATCGTTACGAAATTCTTAATATTTATTGCAAATTTTAATCATAGAAGTGATTTTGGATTGAACATAAATAGCCTTTTTCGTTTTTATGTCAGAGAAAGTGGAAAATCATGAATGTAGGTTGAATGAATTGGATAGATTCAAAGGGTATCGAGCAGGAATGCGAAGCACGTATTTTATAGGAAGTGGGTTAATAATACTCAGACTCAAGTATAGATAAAATTGCATTATATTATGAGAATTCCGGTATGTAATTAATATATTCGATGCTTTTTGTATAAGATTTTATGAAATTTGATTTTGCAGACTTTTATGTAACCACCGAAAGATGTATATGTATATAACAAGTTATGAATAAAGTACCTACATTATTTATGATGATATTTTTTTATACGTTAACAAATTTAACGGGAAAAAAAGAAATATGTAGAGGCTGGCTTTGTTAAAGATTAATACGTTGAATTAAGAGCAAACGAGAAGGTCGCATATATATTATGTAAGATAGAGCGATTTGCCTTTTTCGCTCTTAGGCTTAGAAAAATGTACTAATGAACATAGGCCTTCTCTTAGGGGGGAGGGGTTTTCAGTAGTTGCTATGCTTGGCAGACAGGTTAGCAACCGCAGTTAGGCAACGATGATGTTTTAAGAAGGACGCTGCTGTCTATCTCCCAATCATTAAGTTCCCTTAGTCATCTCTTACGACGCCCACGAGAATGGTAGGGATAGCCCATTCTATGCTGGGACCACGAGGGCTTTTATGTAAATAGTATTAATCAAATATTCGTAACAGTAATAATATTACAATTTAATTGTAATATTAAGACTCGTACTTATCCAACATTTGGAGCGGCTTCCTTCACAAATGGAAACTTGCGACGATTTTCAAATGAACGAACTTGTGTAATTATGACTAAATAATTTAGAGAATAGATGTCTTGTCCTGTTCAACCGAGTCATTATGTAATCCAGAATTCCTGTAATACTGAAATAGGGTATTTCCTTTGTAATATATTATATCTTGAATTTGGTCGTGTCAGACAATGGTATTAATTCGTGTCACTGTTTCTGTACTATAGTTAGGTACTCTCTCCTCATTGTTTTTGGTAACTTTAGTTCTAATTTACGTAATATAATAAATATTAGTTCCACTATATTATTCATATAGACTGTTTCAACGGAACTTAATGAGTAATAATATTAAATTTTGTTATAATTATCACAGAAACATTTAATATGGAAACAGAATTGCCAGAGGGAGACTTTGTACAAAAGTCGTTTGCTTAGGTACATCTGTCCCATTCGTGTTTAAACTGTGAAGCAGTTACTCGTATGTTTGCATGGCTGTATTTCGGTTTGAAGGGTGGATATTGGCGTGAATTTACAGGGTACAAAGGAATAACACCTGAGTCCTCAGGAATAGCAACGCATGGGGGTGTATTATGGATGCAATAGTATACTCTGTTATGTACATGGTCTATAGGCGATGGTTACCACTTTCCACCAGGTGGGCCAACAGCTTGTTTGCCATTCTAAGTTATATAAAAAAAAATTCCAAAGAAAATTAATAATAAATCGAAATATTTAATCAATTAACCGATTCGTTCTCATTTTAATTGTACAACTTCTTTTTAACTGACTTCAAAAAGGAGGAGGTTTCAGTTGTTCCCAACTCCGTCATTTATAAACCGATATGGAAGTTTCTTTTTTTATCTGAAAGAATATACTTAATGTAATTAAAACAAAATCTAAAATATAGACAAATATAATTTGTTTGTATTTTTTATAGTTACGTTTGTTACATTTTACAAGGACATCGCCCTTGCCAATAATTCTTCTGAAGAGGTCCCTAATTCTTTTTGTAGTAGACTGATAATTAGAGACTCAAGACAAATCATGATAATATATTTTATATAGATTTTAAACTATAATTTTGTTGCTTCATATATTATTTTAGAATTTTTCAAATTTTTTTTTACCGTCTAAATCCAATATTTCAATAATAGTTTAATAAGAACATTTATACATTAAGAAGAGCATTATAAGAGCACTTCAAACTGACGATCGTCTGAAGGTGAGTCGGTCTGCTCAGCTACACCACTAAAACTGTCTTAATTAAAATCAATCAAAAGTATTTATATGTAATGGTATATCATAATCAGTGATATGTTATTCCGCAAAATGATACTTAATTTAATAATATTCATTATTTTTGAAAAATGATATTTTCGTATTAAACATATTATTATGTAATCAGATTACAATATTAACATTCTTAAATAAAGAGTGAAAGCGAAAAATACAGTTCACAGCACTGTGAGTAGCCAAGTGATGTCAAGGAGTGCGACTAGTGATGTACCGTGCCGACCTTTTCTGAGAACTCGGAAAAATACTTGAGTACTTATACGACTATTTGAGTATATTATTCGAATCGAGTACTTTTTCAATTGATATTTGAAGTTTATTTTTATGATGGTAATAAATATTCAATAATCTAATAATTTTTCTCGTAGTAACTATAAAGAAGAATATCAACAAAATGCAGAGTCAGAAACTTATGTTCTTATGAGTAGTTTACAAGTACCGTAAAGGTAAGGTAAAAACGTCAGTAAGATATTCGAATACTCAATATAAAAATATTAAGTTTTGGAATATCTGAGTACCTGTTACATATTCGAGTCTATATTCTAGTCAATTTAAACTGGCACATCACTAAGCGCAAGTATCAGCGCATAGCAGTGTATTCCACACTATTGTGTTATTGTTGGAGAATGCAGAAAAGCGAGATCGGTTTTACGTTGTGAAAATATATTGAAATCTGTAGAATGTACCGTACAGAAAGTATTTTAAAAGTTATTTCATTTTCTTTAATACTGAAGCAAAAATATTCATGTGGGTCTCTACATATTTTTATATCTTACCAGTTAGTAACTACTTATCATTATTGAAAGACGGGCTTTTTCCAGGAAAAACAACCTGTGACATTGCGACCTTTCCAGGATCTATTGTGGTCGCCCTTTTTTTAAAATTCGCTGCTAATTCTTGTCAATTACAGGAATTTTAAGATGTTTTTTGTGGCGATGTTTTTATCTCCTCGGGATATAAAGTGTAATAATTTTCAAAGGAGATATATCGTTTAAGTATAAGTGCGCCACAGTCATAAATTAAATACTACGGCGTTTCTTCTTCATTGAAACAAAATCTGCAAACACTTTTTAGGCATAACCTTATTTGGGCTATATGCTTGTTTAGTTTGCAGTATCCAGTGAGAGCCCTTGTTAATACACACATATTATTTTTACTCATAAAAATTAACTTCTTAAAGTTAATTTCTGAAAACCCCTTAATCAGGGTTATCAAGTCATTTAATCCTGACAACAAAAGCCAGCTGTTAGCTACTACTTACCTTAATAGTTTTGCTTACCTTATCGTACTTACCTTAATTATATTATTAATATGTGTCGTTACTGTCCACAGATCTCTCTCCATAAAAAGAGAACATTAACATATTATTGCTACACTAAACAAGTGATTTGGAAAGAAAAGGATTATTAGTAATGGTGTCTAAAATTCCCATTGCTAGCAATATATAGTATATTGTTTTACCAGATTGACCTTAACACGTTTCTCCCTAGACACCATTGTAGTTAATTTTTCATGAATTTATCGCTATGGGTCAACTAACCTGCCCTAATTTTCACCTCTCATCTCTCACTGGTACCTCACCAGCATATATCAATAATGCAGGCTGTGATACCTGATGATTCCATTTAAATCCATAATAAACACCAAACGGTTTAGTTAAGATCTCAGATCAATTTACCTTGTATATTGTCTTAGTGTGGTTCTGTAGTCGCCTCTTGCGATATCCAGGATACAAAAAGAGGTGGTGACACATTATAATCTTATTCGATCACCACGAGGAAATATTCAAACTGAATATCTATCAATAAACAAACCTGAAAAAGAATTTCAAGTTGCAACGTTATCGAAAAAGTATTATATAAATAAAGGTTATTTCGGTACACTATTCTAAGTACAGATTGTATCGCGAAAAAAGCCTGCATTTGACATGTTATTTTTAAGGTAATACGTAAGCTATTTTGTATGTAGCTGTATATTTTTATATTTTACGTTCTAGGAAAGTGGAATTCAAGTCTATTAGATCATAGAGTTAACTTTACAAAACAAAATATGTTTAATTTTTAGAGAAATATTATAATCCTTTATGGAGTAATCAAACATATCTATTGTTGATTGTTACAGTTGTGGTAAACATAAAACTTGACTCACTCATATTTCATCGACTGTATTTGAATTTAATGTGTGCCAGTCTATCGTTCTCTAGAATTAATTGGATGTATTCACGGTGTTTTAAATTACCAGGAAATAGTCAGGACTTCAAATTACCATATGCTTTGGTAACGGTCAGATTCGAACTCATATACGTTTGCGGTCTATAATTCAAAACAGTATACCACTAGTCACGGCCTATTCTGTTCATCTGTTAGGTAAAAGCGTTATTGATTTAATACGTAATGCCAGAGGGAAACCTTGTACAAAAGTCATCTGCATATACCTTTAATCCATACGTGTTTCCATCGCCAAGCAGATGTGTACGCATGGCTGTGTTTCGGTTTTAAGCGTGATATATCGCAGTAAAATTACGCAGTACGCAGGCATAATTCCTTTATCCCCATGAATGGCATGCTGTATGTCTTGTAGGCAATAGTTACTACTTTCTATTAGGTAGACCGTTATCTTTTTTAGCAATAATGCTTAAAAAATGATAATAAAAATAATAATAGTAATGCTTAGTAGTTTTTAAAATATAAAACAGTTACAATAAAATTTTTACTGACCCATCGGTGATAATATTCGTTGATTTATTTGAAATATATATAATATATAAAGGGTACCCTTTAAGTATGCGAGCTTAATATGAGGGGTTCGATCAGGAAAAATCTTATCAAATGCCATTTATATAGAGGGGAGATTAATGAAAATCTCACGCTGACTTTTTATTCTCGTTTCACTTCACTGAAATGATTATTTGACGTCTCACGGGGAAATGTCACATAAGGACGGGAACGTGTCCCACAACATTTTATCAAACCTCGCCAAGTGCAGGCTCTTTTTTTAATAAAAGCACCTCGAATAATTATTTTTACGTCCATTATCCTAGGTACAGATGTGAAATATTAAACAAAATTAATGTAAAAGTTAAAGTATTATTAGCAAGGATTTGATTTCAACTTAAAATTAAAAACAAGATTTGCGAAAATTAGAATATGCTAAGTTATACGGCACGGTAATGCACAAGCGATAGCAAACAAACTCACTTTAACATTTTTTAAGTATACTTATACTCGATAGCTATAGTTCTATTGGGATTCCAATGATTTTGCCAATATCAAGGTTAAAAAACACTGCAGACTTTATCGGTGATATGATATGATTTCCTTGTCTGTGTTCGTTGAATGTCTAAAAACAAAATGAGAAACACAAATATTGAAGACATTACGACAATATAAATATGCACTGTGATAGGGAGGTAATTTTACTATTTTAAGTTTTTATCCTAATGGATATATTAGAAATTTTCAAGCAAAACAGTTTACAATAATTAGAAAGAGATATTGTAATTTAATACTATTTTTTTACATATTTTTTCTCACTTTCACATTTAGAATATAAAAAGGAGAATGACGATTAAATATGACATATTGAAACATTAAATAATTAATATCGGGCAAATAAATATGTATAGAAATTCGATATCGCACTACGAAAGTACTGCAGCATTAAAAAACCTTACCCACGACAATAGCTCATATCTTCTGGAACGTGAGAATAATTATTTCAATCGGCTTTTAACAAAACAATGGCAAGGGAATTGTGAAAAACAACTAACGACCGGTGTTTTGTTAACAAAACGTTAATGTTACTGTTATTGTATCGCTTGTGTAACTTGTCTGATGACTTTGAATTGCCTTGTGCAAGATCTGTGATGTATTGGCAGATTAATTATATTTCACGTGCTGATAAACTGCGTGCTACTGCGATATCTGTTGTGCTATTCAGAAATCTTTGGATACAGGCGAAGTATATTTCGCTTCGCTTAATAGTTATTTTAATCCTAAACACACACAAACACACACTCATAGTAAACAACAGGATAATTCACACACATTACTTACTTTAAAATTTAAATATTTGAACTTAGAACACGCATCGTTAGACACAAAAATCTTTTTTTTGAAATCTTTTGGGAGTCACTTACAAATAATAAAAAATCTCAAAAGACATAAAACAAGCAACAAAACAATAAAAATAATGTTCATTGTCCCTAAACGAATCCGAGAGTTCCTTGGAGACTTTCTAACGAAATATTTAACACTGCATGCGTGCGCGCATCGAATATTCATTGACAGAAACAATGGCGGCGTTTGACTATAATTTAGGTGTTCTACGTGCGCTCTTGTTGTATACAACTATTGTTGTGCTCTTGTGGAATTATAATGACATAAAAATGGAAGTGCAAACGTCATATGTGCCAATTCGAATGATAAATGGAACCTTACGTGTGTTGTTGTAGGAACACAAACTACAAAAGCAATGGGTAAATTAGGCATTATCTGTAAACTATTTTTAGTATAATTTAAATTATGTGCAAAATTCAAACTTATATGTATAATAGCTATTATGTTTATATATATATATTTGTTTACATATATTTATTTATAATTGCTTTTATTTATATTCTGTTATTAAGTGTACAGCTATTAATAAAATAATTTATTATTTATCATATTGTTTTTGTACCATATATGTTATACTTTATACACAAACCCTATAGATACTTTCTACTTTCGGGTTCTCAAGTTTAACTGGAAGAAATTCGTTTAAGAGATAAGTCCACCTGTGTACATTTTTGTTATGACCTAGTATCTATATTAAAAGCGAATATACTAAAGCATACAAATAAATAAATGTTTAAATTTCTAGTTTTGCAAGTAGGTATGTATGTATATGTAACTTTAATTTAGAATCAGAGGTAATTTCAAAAATTAATTTTCGAATTATGGATTGCGATATTATAAAAATGAATACGAATATATTACAGGAAATGCATATAGTATAATGACAGTCATATATATATTCTTACGGTGATCACTACACTATATACTTTATGAAATAAGTATATACTTATGACAATATAAACATAATGACATTTTTCTTATTTAAAGAAAATATTAAAGAAAATACAAAATGAATAAATAGATTTTTGAAAATATCTTAAATTATACTATAGGTAAATAGGATAATCCCTAAAATATGTATATTACATATTCCGTTCCGTACATTGACGATGCAAGTGACAGTGAACGCCTACGAATAAATTGTCAGCTCTAATTTCCAAAGCGACATCACATAGCTCTTAAAATTATTGTGGAAGTTATTTAATATCTACTAGCTTTACCCGCAGCTGCATATTTGTGACAGAACATGATGATTGATAAATAGTAGTCTATGTCCTTCTACTTATCTAATAATACACATAATATATCAAATTTCACAAGGATTGGTTGAATCTGAGTTTAGACGCTAAAATATAACGAACAGACAAACAGATTCACTTTCATATTATTAATATTATAGTAAGGATTCCTTTGTTAATTACTAATGTTTGATTCACTATCACTATTTAAACAATTTTTTTTCGTTCAAAAGAATATTTTTTATAAGTTCAATTCGAAATCATAATTCTTCAATTTGTTCATTCAAGTATTTCAGTAAATTAAGTTAATTGAGTGGATACATATGATGTCATCCGATCACCTCTTGGGTGGTCGGCCTACCGCGAGCATTAGCGCAGGACTTCCACTTCAATACTTTATAAACCAGCAATGCATAATCTGCATGCATTACAATAAAAAAAAAAATACGTTGATTTTATATAGTCCTCATCGAATTATCAAAATTGGTTAAGAATTGGTAAGGATCTATTAAAAAAAAAAGAATTAAAAATTTCCTTTTTGAAGTTACAATCTGCAAAGAAATTACATCCAAGCTGCTGAACTATTTAGAAGTATAACAACTTCAATTGGAGAATACAATTTACTACCGTATGGTTATAATAACATCCATCTTAGTGTTATGCAAAATAACAAATTTCTTTATAAATTTATATTTTATACGAATAACTAATACAAAGAATGTATGGAGTATGGAGGCATAACAACGTTGTCTTTAGAAATGGCAACACATTAACTCATGTCCATATACTGTTTACATTTGGAGACGACGGTTACTACTTTATATTCAAATAGCTGGTCTGTTCCTCTGTTCGTTTGTTATTTCTAGTTAAACATATAAAGTTAAAAAATAACTTTTATTTTACTCTTCTTTCAATAATAATTCAATCGTCTGGCGTCGACGTAACTACATAGGTTTTATAAATGTTCAGAAATACTTTCGATATTATTTCGAGAGCAATATAAGATGGAAATGTCAATCCTTTATGATAAGGATTTGAATGGAGATTTCGTCACCCACTGAGGATAAAATACCTCTATATTGCTCAGAAAATGGACGGCGTTATTGAGGATTTTTATGAATTTTGTCACAATATCAATTTTTGGTAGCTTTTGTACATATAAAGTTATAGTGTGACATACGTTAACCTTTGATCTTGATATCCTTGATATATTTTTACTACATATTATATTTCTTATATATTTCTTACTAGTTTTTACTAGTCGTTTTATTTCCACGACAGCATAATTATAAATATATTCACCTTTGCAATATTTCTACAGTATCAATCTTGTTGTACTCTCACAGGTTTGTCCACAATGACTCAGCTTCGTATGTGAAAACAAAGAACACCTGTACACGAATTTAAGACTTGCTGTAGCAGTTTAAGTCATTGTCATTGCTACAAGTACTCTTTTATTATTAATTTTGCTATAGCAAAGATTATTCTAAAAAAATAACAAAGTCTTCATTGATTACGTAGTAACAATAGAACTTATCAATTTCATTCTAAGAATTTATGGCATTTCTTTACGATCCCAATAAAAAGCAATGTGGCGGTAGCAAAGTGAGGTCGGGTAACAATCTGCATATAAAACGAATTTTGTCGTAAATTGTAGTTAGGACCCAATAAATACTCAATGATGAACAGATTTTTATTTCATTTTTATGCATGTATTATTTTACTTCGTTTACGTAGATGATCCCAATGTGCCACTTTTTAACGTATAATAAGTATTATGTTACTTACATTATACTTAGTATATGTTAAAAAGCAGCGTATTCTTTTTTATAACTAGTAATAAATTAACATCCCACTGCTGGACGTGGGTTTCTGTTTAATAATATTCTCCATATTAGATTACTTAATGATGATTTTTCTTTTTAGTTTCTTTCTCTGGCAATGATGAATTGCGTAGTTATAATTTGCTCTCTAAGCTCCCATGTACGTAAAGGATGAAAAATTAAATTGTATTTTACAGAAGTCTGCATCTTGTTATATTTTAATTTGAATTACATAATAATCTTGCTAAAATTATTAATATGATGTTTTGTAGGTACGTTGTTAGGTACTTCATTATTAATTCACTCTTTTACCCGCGATGTTCTACGCGTGACCTTTTCCATCTCATATAGTATATATTTACCAATCTTCATAGTGATCTGTTAAGCCATTAAGGCGCTAAGTGATAACAAAAAAACAAATTGAATTTCACATTTATAATATTAATAAGAATAGAGTTCAGAGACTTGATTCATTTCGATTTTATTTTAACATAGTAGACATTATAGTCTTGGAGATTCAAATTTCAGTGGCCATAACGGACCTGAACCAAATTATCCTGTGAACGTAAAACATCATTGCTTTCACCTTGAACTTTGTTCCCTTGATGTTTATTAATTGAATGATCGTTCATCCTGTAACGACTCGTAAAATTCCGCATTGAATCTATTCGATAATAAAATAATAGAGCGTCGCCATTTCCCAGTACCGAGCACAAAATAATACAGTTTTTTAATAGGTGAAAATGGAATAGCGACCCTGCCTGCACTATCGGTATTCACTAGCGGAGCACCAGTGAGGGGTAATAGGTGAGTATGAAGTAGGTCAATTGGCCCACCGTGACGAATTTAACAATAATCGCTATAGTTTTTAGAGGGAACCGCGTGGAGGTCGACTTGATAGGATATATTGCTAACAAAGAGGTAATTAGACCCAATTACTGATAAACCTGCTTACACAAATAATACAGAGTTATGAACGGTATGTAATGTATAATTTTTATTTAAATTTCTTTTAGTTAACACGTTTTGAGCAATAAAACCAATTTAATAAAAATTATTAGATAATCATTGTGACAAATTGTAAAATAAATCAATAATTTATTAAATTATTATTATGACAAAAATAGTAAAATTATACATAATTTATTGGTTTTAATTAATAAAGTCTTACCTTAAATTATAGTACTTATAATAGAATTATCAAAGTCGGTTCAGAAATACCAAGAGATCGCCTATAATACGATAAAAAAAAAAAAAAAGAAATATGGTCTACCGAGAAAATTATTTTAGATTTTGTTTATAAACTACATACATATCTGTAAAGATACACAACAAAATACAATCAGTTTCTCTATTAGTTGTCTTGTCGATTTGTCAGTACTTTAAGCTATGTATTTATACAAAACAAAATACCGAAATCAGTCGATAATTGGTAAATATCCATAAATTACACTTCAATTAAAAACTTTTTCGAATTCAGTGAACTATAAATATAGTTATTTACATAATATATATAAACAAAATAGTAGTTCACAGTTTCATTTTGTGTAAATTATATCATACCCTACAGACAAATTTTCATTATCATCAGGTATACGAATAGTAGGTACAGATATATAATTTAACTCATGAACGTAATTCCACGAGATAACATTTGGTTAATTGTTATTAGTTTATTTCAGCGTGGATGTAGTTAGTTTACCGAGTTAACGTACCTAATCCCACCTAAAGGTCAAATTACTTCAAATGCCTGAAACTTTGTTTTATAGAGGACCGTCTATCGTTCACCCTA